ATCTCCCCTAAGAGGAGAACGTCTCCATGCGGGGACCTTATCTCCCAAAGAGGAGAACGTCTCCATGCGGGGACCTTATCTCCATGAAGAGGAGAACGTCTTCATGCGGGGACCTTATCTCCCCTAAGAGGAGAACGTCTCCATGCGAGGACCTTATCTCCATGAAGAGGAGAACGTCTCCATGCGGGGACCTTATCTCCATGAAGAGGAGAACGTCTCCATGCGGGGACCTTATCTCCATGAAGAGGAGAACGTCTTCATGCGGGGACCTTATCTCCCCTAAGAGGAGAACGTCTCCATGCGGGGACCTTATCTCCATGAAGAGGAGAACGTCTCCATGCGGGGACCTTATCTCCCCTAAGAGGAGAACGTCTTCATGCGGGGACCTTATCTCCATGAAGAGGAGAACGTCTCCATGCGGGGACCTTATCTCCCTAAGAGGAGAACGTCTCCATGCGGGGACCTTATCTCCCCAAAGAGGAGAACGTCTCCATGCGGGGACCTTATCTCCATGAAGAGGAGAACATCTTCATGCGGGGACCTTATCTCCCCTAAGAGGAGAACGTCTCCATGCGGGGACCTTATCTCCATGAAGAGGAGAACGTCTCCATGCGGGGACCTTATCTCCATGAAGAGGAGAACGTCTTCATGCGGGGACCTTATCTCCATGAAGAGGAGAACGTCTCCATGCGGGGACCTTATCTCCCCTAAGAGGAGAACGTCTCCATGCGGGGACCTTATCTCCCCTAAGAGGAGAACGTCTCCATGCGGGGACCTTATCTCCATGAAGAGGAGAACGTCTCCATGCGGGGACCTTATCTCCCCGAAGAGGAGAACGTCTCCATGCGGGGACCTTATCTCCCCTAAGAGGAGAACGTCTCCATGCGGGGACCTTATCTCCCCTAAGAGGAGAACGTCTTCATGCGGGGACCTTATCTCCATGAAGAGGAGAACGTCTCCATGCGGGGACCTTATCTCCATGAAGAGGAGAACGTCTTCATGCGGGGACCTTATCTCCATGAAGAGGAGAACGTCTCCATGCGGGGACCTTATCTCCCCTAAGAGGAGAACGTCTCCATGCGGGGACCTTATCTCCCCTAAGAGGAGAACGTCTCCATGCGGGGACCTTATCTCCATGAAGAGGAGAACGTCTCCATGCGGGGACCTTATCTCCCCGAAGAGGAGAACGTCTCCATGCGGGGACCTTATCTCCCTAAGAGGAGAACGTCTCCATGCGGGGACCTTATCTCCCCTAAGAGGAGAACGTCTTCATGCGGGGACCTTATCTCCCCGAAGAGGAGAATGTTTCCCATGGCAGCCTGAGTGGAGCAGAAAGCCATGAGTGATGAGGAGGGGTTAAGAGAACTGAACCCATTTAAGTCACCCAAATAAGGGCTGTAGGAGGCCGTGATGGATGCTCTGGAGGTCCTGAGGGAGAGAGCATTAGTGATGGGTGGGGATGGAGCAGGGGTCCTGTGATCCCCACTTCATGAAAACAAATTGGTTTGTTAAACGACAAGGGCTTAATGTCCAAAAGGAAATCGTTTTTTAGTGTTTAGAACGGCAAAGAGAGAAAGGATAACACAAAGTAACAGTCAGAAGAGTCGGCTGTATTCTTCATGTTAGTGACTTCTCAGTCCTACAAGGAAAACATTTGTGAAACATTCATTAGGCAGAGAGAGCCTGAATTCATCATCTGAAGCCCAATCAAAACATCCAGCACTTATTAGTCAACTAAAAATGAAACACTTGAGTGGTGGGGGTGGGGGGGGGGGGGGACGCTGTAACACTGGCCTGCGCTCTAATAAACAGTTAGAGTATGTTTAGACAGACCAAGAGCTTAGCATTCTTCCATTACCCGGGTGTTCCCACAAAGTCCACAAGAGTGTTGCTTCACCTACAGCCTGGGAGTGTGTGCGTGTGCATAAATAAAAGTGTGTGTCCTCATTAAACATTTCACTGGCTCTCTGAATTGTTACAAGTGGAGCCATTATTTCAAACAAGGCGCTGGGCAGAGGGCACACTTAACCCTGGCCGGCCATGCTAAGCTGAAGAAAGGAGAGGCTGTTCCTGACACGGTGTAGGAGGGCAGTCAGGGTGAGGGGGGGGGGGGGGTCAGCATCACTAATGAACCCCTCTGCTCCATACGCTCAATTACTGTACAAATGAAAGCAGGAAGTATAAGCTCAATGTTCTCTGCAGCTTCAGTCATGTTAACAGAGGCCTCCATGTTGGTCTATGTAAAAACAACATGTAGGATTTTATCATTCTGGAACAGAATAATGTTTCAGCTGGAACAAAGTCAGTGTTCATCAGTGAGCTCCATGTTAGTGTTCACCTGAACTTACTCTGAAGTAGAAACACTTCAGTGAAAAACCTCTCCCTGAAGCTGAGTCCTCACAGAGACATAAATCTGCTCTGTTTTCTTTAGCTCCTTGTTATTCCTCCACTTCTATTTCGGTTGTCACAAACATGTTGTCTCAGTGAGTCGGACATCATG